TGTTGCTTTTCCAAATTTTGTTCCGCCCTCCGCACCACCACTGCACGGATAACTCAAAAGCTGGGATGGACATACCTGCAGGAAGGCAAACAGGAGGAGGCACAAGATCCCGTCCTTCATTTCTAAGTGTCATGGGCCTTGGATCGAAGTCACGTTACATCCTTAAAATCATGCTGCGGGTGCGAGGCTATATAATAATCCGTTTTGCGAGCACAGTTTGCCCGCACAAAAACACTGTTTTCCAAAAAGTACCACTAGGGTTCGAAAAGAAAACCGGCAACAAATACAAAACGAAACGAACTCAAAAAGACCGCACAGAAAAACACTCACACTGGTCAGATTGCACGCGGGGTGTTCCGTAAAATTCCAAAAGAAAAGAGAAAGAAAAACGGGGAAAAACTGAGGGAAAACAATTCCTCCGGCTACTGAAGAGGCTACGTTCGAGGGTATGTATTATCCGCACAAGCACTAACACTGATACACGTATCACTAGGATTGCACTGAGGTCTACGAGGGCGCGAGGGGGTGGCGACGCGACGCGGAGCAGGTGCCCGAACGCGAAAAAAGTTTGGGGGTCACAAATGCTTTGGCCGGGAGCGTGGATCCGCCTGGATTCTGGGTCTGGTGGAACTGAGGAGGAAACGCTGGAAGCCGAAGCTCTGGGCCGGTGGCAGGACGAGGATGGCGAGAAGCTGCGCGCGCAGCCCGGAGCGAGCGGGCACCAATGGCGAGGCGGCTCCGGGACCCGCGGACCTGCCCTGTGGCAACGACTCTCACGGATGGGGCCCCGCTGCTCCTGCACTGGATCTGGCCCCGCACAGTGGGCTCTGCTCTCAACCGACCGACTCCTTCTTGATGCTAGATGAATGCTTCGTCCGACGACCTTTCAACAAAGCTCTTTATCCCAATGTTGTTTATCGAACAAGATCAAACGAAAAGCTCCCTGTCCAGTTCCGAGGAAACACTATGTCTAGAAACCTTGGATTTGGAGTCCTCCCCTGATGGACTATAATCTGAAAAGGAAAATTCCAAAGTGAAAAAGTCCGTGAGATAACGACAGAGACAAGAGACCCTCCACTAGTATCTTGGCAATTGTGGAAGCTTTTACTTTCGGGACTTCAGCATTCTACTGTTGACTTACCTCCATGGTTGATGTTCAATAACGTGTTGGCGGTTTCGTTTTGCAAACAAGCCGAAAATGGCCGACGTTTGGGAAAGTTGTTTGGCTCATGACGTCATCCGAAGCTCATCATCGACCATGTAGGTAAGTCAACAGCCGAAACTAGGGTGATGACTGTTGCTCCCTAATAATTGTCCATAAGGAATTGTTGAAACCCCGAAAGTAAAAGCTTCCACCTGTCGCTAGGAGGCCAGTGGAGGGTCTCTTGTCTCTGCCTTTAGCCCTGCATAGACGATCAAATTCCTAACCAATTCCGATCAAAGTAGACATGCTGATGACTGGTGGTCACCATCTACCATCAAATTTGGACGGGCCGCACTTTTTGGTTCAAAGAGAGATCAGAACGGAGTGCCACCATTCATCATTTCCTGCCACAGGAAACGTTTCTGCCAAGTTTTCATTTTAGAATGAAGCAAATTAATGAGTTTAAGACTGATGACTCCCGACACTTTGATGCTACTTTGATCGGAATTGATTCGGGAATTTGATCGTCTATCGAGGCCTTTTCGACAAAGCTCTTTATCCCAACGTTGTTTATCGAATAAGGTCAAACGAAAAGCTTCCTGTCGAGTCCCGAAAAAAACACTATGTCTAGAAACCTTGGATTTTCCCCTGATGGACTATAATCTGAAGAGGAAAATTCCAAAGTGAAAAAGTCCGTGAGATAACGAGGTTGAAGAATGACATCGTGCACGATGTCAGGTCAAAAGCAGTTAGTATGGTATAGTATGGACACGAGGGGAGAACATCGGACGATCGTTGGGCCAAGCAGGTTCTCGGTTGGGTGCCTTCCTCCCGGGAGGAGACGGTGCGACGTAGACGTCCTGTGAAAGGTTTGGGACAGTGACTGAAAGAGAAGATCAGAATGTGTCAATTGCCTGATAGTGGGAGGATATAGGGAGCAAAGGCGGAGCGTGAATGATCGATTATCGATATTTCCTCATTTGAAGCTATGGTAAAGACTCGATTATTGTTAAGGTGTTCGTTGCAAACTCTGTTCATTGATCCTTTTCAATGGGTTTAAATGAGAGATAAATCGATACATCCAAAAGCAAGCCACACCACTGATAGAGGCAATGACGATTGGGTGTCTTAGAGAGTGAAATTCCTCTGTGAAAACAGATGGGTATATTCCGAGCTAAAACTCCGTGATTTTCTCTCATTTATTCCGAGCTAAAAATCCAAGATTTTTTTAAATGGGATTTTTTCCAGGGTACCTTAGGATAAATCGACGAACAGCTATCTGACCAATAGACGTCGAAAATAGCCCCACCATCAAATGACAATTTTTCCTCACAGGTGTAGTAAATAGCGTGGAGTGGTGCTTGGTAAATATTCTGTTAGCATTTACAAGTCCTAGAAAATTTAAAAATGTTTAACTGATAGAAAATTCTTCGAAGGCTCAAGCTTTATCTGGGTCAATTGAGAAGCCACTTTATATGTCCAGACAAAACCTACAAAGTGTGCTTCTTGTTAAAGTAAAAATAAAATAAAAAGTAAAATTTGGTAAAAATTGGCATGTTCATGCCAACCGCATGTACTCCCCGGTGGCACATTCAGGGCTACATTAAGGGGGTGGCCACATGCGCCGCGGCCCATGGCGGCAAATTTTGCAATTTTTTTTAAATGCAGGTACAAAAAAATCGGATTCAGAATAAAATTACAAACAAGAAAAGGTGACAAAATCTCTCATTTCCTGAGAATTCATTAATTACTAATTTTCTCGTATTTCAGTGATACAAAAGACTGCGCACCTTTAATTAGTTGAGTTAAGAGAGGAACCAAACACGTGAATTGGCCTGGAGCGGCCGCGGCGCGGCGCAGAGAGAATGATGACGAGGACTTGGGATGATAAGGACAGGCCCTCGGCGCGGCGGTCGGCATGTAACACATATTAGCGCCTACGAGACTGCAAGAATACTTCACGCATTTCGTCAAACACAGTACGGTCAACAGCGGTCGGCGCGGCGGCGTGAAACGCACAGTGCCTACAAGACTACATGAATACTTCACGCATTGCGCCAAACACAGTGTTGTCAGCGCGGCACGGCGGCGGCGGAAGTTAAAATTATTAAACCACATTTATGTATTCTTTCTTAATTTTTTAGTTCATTTCTTACAAATGAAAGGCCTTTGTACACAGAGATAGGTTTACGGAACCGAACTTTCCCGCGAAGTTCCGTGAACTTTTGCTGGTAGTGTTGACAGGGCTTACGCAAAAAATGTGTCCAACACGAGTGAACGCGTCTTATGCACCCTTCTCCCTCCGGTACGTTCACTTGATGGTTTTTATTGATGTTTCAAAATCCGATAGGCTTCGCAAAGCAAGCATCTACTTCTGGACCAAAGACTTTACACTCAGCCTCCAACAGATGTTGCATTGATATTTGATGCTCGAGTGCCGAAAGGTACTCTAATCTATCAGAGGTTTCTCCCTTCGAAAAGAGATAAGTCACGTGAATTCCCGTAAAATCGGGCGTCTCAGTGTCTCTAAGCAATAAGGGAAGCGAAATATTAGTTTCATTAGACTATATTTTCCAAAATCTAATGTAATTCTGTATTTATTGTACCGCTTGGCAGTTCTGGTAACTATATCAATGGATGATGAATTAATGAAACCGACCGCGCAGACAGATTTTCCTAGGAAATCCTGACAGTGTGAGATAACCCCTATAGATCCTATACTGACAAAAATGTTTGTTTTCGTGTGTTACTTTTGGTTAACATTGTAGGAAGTAAAAAACAAACCAACACAAATTTAGTGTTGATTTTGGCACAGTTAGCGGTGAATTTAACACAGAAAACAATGAAGAGACGGGGGAAGTGCATTCCTCCGATTGCGACTCGCGTATTCACCATTCTTTTTTCAACTAATTTCTTCAAGAAAACTAGCTGACATTTTTTTTTGAAATTGTCAACCGAAGTATTGTGTTACTCCCCGTAACCAAACTTTTGTGTTGACATTGTGCGGGTGCGCGCGCGTATAATGCAGTTACTGAATGATTTTCAATACGTTTAGAGGTATCAAATCATTGTCATCCAACACGCCCTTCAACAAAAATTAAACAAGAACGGAAGTTTTTTGCCAGCTTAATTTAGGCGTAACATCGCACGGGGACAGTAGTTTAAAAGACCGATTTCGGTGAGTAAACTTTCTTGTTTGAAGTCGTAGGTTGCAACGTGACACTCGCTTTTCAAGCCTGCAAAACTTGTGCAGCTAAGCTGCACGCATTGAAATGAAATGCGTTGATCTTATTGTTAGTCTGCATTAGAAAGCTATTAGACCTTTCTTTGAAACAAGACCAAGAAAAACCTTCTACTTAGCTTATTTAGGAAGTAATAGCATTTAACTCACTACTTTATGAACGGCCTACGTCTTTCACATAGTACATTTTTTGAAAGGGGAACCTCCGAAAGCTAAACTTTGTTGCACAGATTTAAAAGTTATGAGTAAATTTTGGATTTCTCGGATAAGCTCATCGTGAATTTGAAGTAGGTACAGTTCTTTAAAATACAGTGCTTCCTTCCGCTGTTGAAAAATTCCGCAGAAGACCCATTTTACCTATCGTTCTTCACCTCCCTTCATTTTTTGCTCTTATTTTTTTTATACTGCAGAACAATAGACATTTCATGGAACGATTAACGAAAGGAATGGCCACGGATAGTAAAGGGAACTGGGAAAAAGCTACCTTTTTAATTTTTTTTTCCTATTTAATTTCTTTACTTTATTACGAGGTAAAGTTACCATAAATGACACTAACAAACGCAAACGCATTTAAATAAATTACTTTATTATACTTACCTACTTTTATCAAAGGTTACACGATTTAAAATTTCTAAGAGAACAATACCTTAAATCAGCAATCAAAGTCAGCGAGGCAATTTCTCAAAAAATTGTTGGCGCAGAAAAATATACAGAGGAAAGAATCGTTCGCCAATATACGGAGACTTTGATTCCCGAACTGAGTGATTAAATCTAAAAACGCGGGGTTGCACCACGAGTTGTGATAAGTAACACTTAAAACCGAAATTTAAAAGAAGCAAAAAATGTTACTACTTCATCTTTTGCACCACTCAAAGAAGAGGCAGTCGGAAGCATCATTATTTTACGAAGCAAAAACTGAGGAGGCATTCCTATTCTATTTTCTGGTCCAGAAACACATGGGAAAAGATAAATGCTGCAGATTCCGTGAATTCTTCCGATTGACTAAAGATGAATTTGCTAAGTGCTGGGACTAATAGAGGATGACGTTAGACACAACCAACAAATCGAGTTTGAGACCATACCTCACCAAAAGAGCAGCCAAATTATGTTATAAGGTAGGTTACCTTTCAATGATACTTCAATGCATGATTACTTTCAGAGAGCTCAGTTATTCACACGCAAATGTTTCGGAGCAGCTTTGATTGCGGCGTGTGAATGAAAGAAATCAATGATTTTGGCTGGATGTTACATACTGTGCTACTTAGGTATTCGTGAAAAACAGTCTGTTGCCTTCCAGGCTCCTGTGTTGGAAGTAATAATTTCTACCGTCCATTTATTT